TTGATTAACTCAGAGGTCAGCTAAACGTCTTCTCAGGGACCAAGACAACATAAAGGAAGTCATAATGTGCCCCCAGATCAGGCCAGAGTTCACTGTGGGTAGAATCCTGGTGTCACTGAAGTCAATGGAAAAGCTCCCATTAATTTCATTGGGGCCAGGATTTCTCAAAGTGAACCTTGTTTGTGGGTTTATCAAACTATGATATCTTATGCCAGATACCATGGGGTTATGATTTTGGATTCAGACTTTGGTTGGAACAGTTCATCCATCAATATTTTTAGAATGATTTCAGATTCAGATTAGCCAGAACAGCAAACCCTAGCCACTGGGAGCTGTGGGCAATTATGCAAATGTAAACAAACTGTCTGGCAGCCTGCCAGCAGATTACCCTGACAGGCTGTGTGTGGACCATGGGCCGCAGGTTGGCCACCACTGCTGTAAAGCCTACTGGCTACACCAAATGTAATCCATACCCACATTGAGGCATTCTATTGCAAACTCACACGTATTCAGTATTCCTTTACTACCACTTCCAACAATTTATATTAACATATCTGTTGGCATCTCTTTGAAAGTTATGACACTTAACATCATTATAGCAGTGATATTTATGTGATATCACATAGAAGCTTCTGACCTGCAGCTTGTGAATTTCAAGAAAAATATATTTTAGATTAAGTTGTTGTAACCTATGTGATTACTTCTTGCTTAAACATTAGTTGTAATATTCTTTCAGTTATCACATATTGTGATTTACTCATTTCTATATATGTGTTACAGACAAACAACCATGTAATACAAATACTTCCATTTAGGTCCTGTGGGCAATATAAACAGCAAACATGGAGCTTGTCATGTGATTTGTCACCAGAACTCCAAGATAGAACTTCCTTTTATTAAATTACGGAATGCGTGTTAGTTTTAGGGCTGTCTAGCGATTAAAAAAATTAATCGCGATTAATCACAATGTTCAACAATAATACTGTAGAATACCTGTAAACATTTTTGAATGATTTCTACATTTTCACATATATTGTTTTCAATTACAAAACACTATACAAAGTGTACAGTGCTCACTTTATATTTATTTTTATTACAAATATTTGCACTACAAAAAACAAAAGAAATAGTATTTTTCAATTCACCTAATACAAGTCCTCTGAAATGGTGGCTGAAGCACGAAGGGGCATATGAATGTTTAGCATATCGGCAGGTATATACCTTGCAATGCCTGCTATAAAAGTGCCATGCAAATGCCTGTTCTCACTTTCTGATGACATTGTAAATAAGAAGCAGACAGCATTATCTCCTGTAAATGTAAACAAACTTGTTTGTCTTAGGGATTGGCTGAACAAGAAGTAGGACTGAGTGGACTAGTAGGCTCTAAAGTTTTACATTATTTTGTTTTTGAGTGCAGTACGTAACAAAAAAAACCCTACATTTGTAAGTTGCACGTTCACAATAGATTGCACTACAGTACTTGTATGAGGTGAATGGAAAAATACTAATTTTGTTTATCATTTTTACACTGCAAATATTTGTAATAAAAATAATATAAAGTGAGCACTGTACACTTTGTATTCTGTATTGTAATTTAAATCAATATATTTGAAAGAGTACAAAAACATCCAAAATATTTAATAAATTCCAATTAGTAATCTATTGTTTAACTGTGATTAAAACTGCAATCACAAAACTGTGATTGTGATTAAAACTGCAATTAATCGCAATTAATTTTTTTGAGTTAATCTTGTGAGTTAACTGCGATTAATTGACAACCTAAGTTATTTTATTTCCTTTAATATCCTCTCATTTCTGTTTGTATCCTTTGTAAGCCAAATCAGTGTTCACTTCCATTGGGATTCAGATGATAATACACCTCTCAAGTTCTGGAAATATATTTGTATGCCAATATAACAGTACTAACAGACAGAATGTTGTGTTAGGAAATACATATCCATATAACAAATGAATACAACTTTTTGAACTATATATTCTACACTAACTTTTATTTCTCTCTACTCTTAGTCCAAATGTCAGCATAAACCAAGCTAATTATAAAAGTCAACCACAATTATAAATGTAAAGCTTTAAGGAAAGTCAACTGCGCCATGAACATGTATACTTATTTGCATTACACACAGGTGTTCTAATTTGGCATCATCTGTTAGGGATGACCAGATGTAACTTACCTTTGACTCTGCATTCATGAAGGTAATTTAAATTAAATTAATGTTACATGGGAGGAGAGATTATTTGGATTTCCAACAGCAGAAGACAGAACAATGTAATTTTTGTTAAAATAATTTTAAGCATACATTTGAAAGATCTTATAGATGTTCAAAGTAAGTTTTTGACACTGCATTTTTTAGTTTGCCATAGATTGTTTTTTTTCTCCCTGTGTTCTAAAACAATCTAATAACGATTTTTAATTCAATAACTTTTCTGACAAAGCATCTTCCTGTGCATCAGCACTATTAACTATGCAAGTTCTAGGAATGGGGTTTGTTCGTGCTGCTGCAACAAAAAGAGGCTGCACTAAGTACTATACCAGAACATTTTTTATATCACAAAACAGTTACCTTTATCCTCTCTGTCTTCTTGACACCAGAAGAGATTTTAAGCAATAATTAGATGATATTCAAAAATCTGATGCCCTTCCCCACTATTCTTAGGTGTTTGGTTTTTCTCATTGCACAACGGGAGTGATTGTCCTGTGTTTGGGGCACAGAGGCATCTTGTGTGACCTGATTCAAGTCACTTTACCATTCTGCCTCTCCCATCCATAGAAAGTGGGGAAGTAGGAGTCCCATGTATTATCATAGAATCATAGAATATCAGGGTTGGAAGGGACCCCTGAAGGTCATCTAGTCCAACCCCCTGCTCGAAGCAGGACCAATTCCCAGTTAAATCATCCCAGCCAGGGCTTTGTCAAGCCTGACCTTAAAAACCTCTAAGGAAGGAGATTCTACCACCTCCCTAGGTATTCTTTAATGCCATGAAATTCACATTTGCTGCAAAGCTTTACCCCAGAATCTCACCTTTAAGTTTTTAAAAAATTAACTTTCTAGCCCTCATGGTTGCAAAGAAAACCCTGACAATATGAACGGACAGAGGTATGGCTACATTACAAGCGCCACAGCAGCACAGCTCCAACTATACCACGGGGGGGGGGGGGGGGGGCTCTGTCACTCCAGTAAATTAACCGAGAAGCAGTAGCTAAGTCAACAGAAGAATACTTCCACTGACCTAGCTACATCTACAGTGGGAGTTAGATCAACCTAAGTACGTACCAGAGATTTTTCACAGCCCTGAGCGATATAGCGAGGTATGGTAGAGTTAAACCCTTTCTGAGTCTACAGAATAGTTGAGGGGTGTGAGCTGCTCCATTCACCTCAACTGGGTGTTGAATCTTCAACCCAAAAGATGATAAAATGACCATCAATGAAATATTTGAAAATGTTAGGATTCAAATTAACAGAAATATTCAAAAATGTGCTTACCTCACAATCTAAAATGGTCTCCCACGGCTCCGCATGTGCCAAAAGCGATGACTGCCCCTACTCAGCTGCCAGAACTACCAGCTTGCCCCTGACAACTATCTATAGTGCGGATTGTACTATGTATCACTGTACCTATTTTGCAGGCCACTCAAGGACTCAAACAAAACCAGGTGTTTTAAAGCACTGAGAATTCTTGTGTCACCTAAAGTTGACCCTTTTTAGTTCATTGTTGTTGGCAATGGGCATCTGACAAGGAAAATCTAACTCTCAGCTTAAAAAGAACTGACAACTGAATTAGGACATGGACCTTGTAGAGTGTTGAATGAGATGTTATACACATGAGGCTCTCTGGCACACACTAACCATACTACTTTGCAAATAATCAGCACAACAATTCTATAAACTAGGATGCATATGAGAAAATAGGATGTAAAAAGAGTGAGCCATGAACAGGATCGATGGACAGCTAAATAATATCCAGGAAAAGAGATAATACAGTGTTATTCTGCAGCATTTGCCAAATTAAGACTAGTATACATAGCATTACTACGTCTGTATTCTGACTCTCTACTCCGTCATTTCAGTTATATAATGCTGTAACTCATTAGTTATACCAGCATATAAAGAAAGTAAAGGAGTGCCGAATCAGGCGCATTGAGCTTTTTGAGCAAAAACCAAGCCCACACTCTCTCTCTCTCCTGCATGATGTTTATATGACCCATCTGACATTCAAATTCTGCAGAATCTAGTCTTAGTTTTTTACCTTACATTTGCAAATAAAACCTTCCAAAGGTGACCCAACTGTAACTGAACTGTGGTGCTTTCATGAAACTGCACACAGCCTGAAACAATGGTCCTGTGAGGTATAAACTCCCTCGCCATCTTATTTGTATGTTAGCACTAATGCCTAATGAGAACAGCCATATCAACATTAAAGTGATCAGCAATTAAATAGTCTGTAAAATCAGGAAGTGGGTGGAAGTGAAGGCCTCAGAGAATGGTGACTGGATGCTGCAGGAGGAAAGAAAGCGCAGAAAGAAAGGAGGATGAAGAAAAATAAACAAAGGATACAAACAGCGGTGGTCCTAAAAAAGAGAATTTTGCCACTGAGTGACGCTGAATTGGACCATATGGTATTGAACAAATAATGAATGAGGATAATTACTAAAAGTTCAGGTACTGCACAAAAGTTATAGTCTAGTCACACTTTTTACTTAAATCTCCCACTAATAAGAGAAGAGATTCACTGTGAATTAAGGATATTATATAATCCAAAAATTATACTCTAACAGAGCGTAAATAGAATTCAGCCCTCTCCACAGAATGAGCTGGACACCCCTTTTTCAAGGACAAATTAATTTAGTTCACAAAGCAAAGCTATATATATATATATATATATATATATATATATATATTTTTTGGGTGTGTGTGTGTGTGTGTGTTTACCAGTTAAAACAATTTCACGCTTCTTAAAAATATAAATGACATGATACTTACAGCCACAACGGATTTCAGACTATTGTCGGTGGGGTGTGCAGCACCTGGGTGGAAGCCAGCAGGTGGGCCCAGCGCTGGGTCACTGCTCCTCCTCACTAGCAGCGGTGTGCCTAAAAGACAAAATAAAAGGTCAAGAGTCAAAAGAGCTTCAGGGTAAAGCTCTGTGCAATCTAATTCAGAAGACGTACAGCTTACTTTTTCACACAATCTATTTTTTTCAATAGGTGCCTGTAAATTATTAGATCTGATAGCATTCTGTCATTTATTATCCACTGACATGTAGACATGACAAAAGCTGTAGACCCAACTGCACAATCCTCCACAATGGCAATGCTAAATTGACCAAACATACGCTAAAATAAAAAAAATGCTGGAAAGCAGGGGTAAGTGACATTCTTTCAAAACCAATAAAATAACCACTGCAGGGCTTTATGGCCATATGTATAACCACATTCCAATATGCAAACCATATGCCCACTTTAAGGAATAATCCCGTAGGGTACAAAGACTCTGCTAGTTTTGTTAGTTTCTAGTGATAAATAGTGGTTAGGTGTCCAGGCTGACATTTTCAGATGTACCAACAGCCTTTCATGTCTCAGGCCAGCTTTTATTTTATTGTTTTACTACAGTCACTAGCTTAGTAAAATGGGATCTCAGGATCATATTCCAGTAGTTCTCTCCTCTCATCAAAGGTATCCCAAAGCAGTATGGGCAATTACTCATCTGTCTCAAGCCTTTTATGCAATGCTCTGAAAGATTATAGTCCCCTTTTCAACATGCACGTGAGGCCATTTGGGCTGCAATGCCACAAGCAGAGAAATAATTTACTTTTCTAAGTCTCTTTTCCACAAGACTTAAATGGCACATCTTTCTGCTTTCCCAGTGCCTGACTCAGGAGGGGCCTGAGGCTCACACAGTCCAGACAAAACAGAGGTGGTGGTGTTAGGCAGAAGCAAGCATCTACATTTATTGTAGTAGTAGCAGTATCTGTTCCACATTACTGAGCATGCCTAGTCCCTCTGTCAACAAGTTTCACAGCCTTGGCAGTTCTTCTTGATCCCTGTCTTGTGCCTGGATTCTAAGGTAGCATCTGTGGCCAAATGCAGTTTATCTATCTATCTATGCACGCACTTGGCTCACCTATCGCAGCCACTTCTCTCTGATTTGGATCTCACCAAAGTTATTCACGCCTTTATGACTGCCAGTGCACTCTATCTGGGGTTACCCCGGAAGACCAAGATGATATCAGTACACATATTTTTGTGACATTAAATTCCATCCGAACTGATGTTTATTCCAAAAATCCTGTTCACATCTGTCCTGTAACTTTACCACTTTTCTTTAACCTGTCATATTCAAATATATTCATAGATACTAAGGTAAGAAGGGAACATTATGATCATCTAGTCCGACCTCCTGCACAATGCAGGCCACAGAATCTCACCCGCCCACTCCTGCGAAAAACCTCTCACCTATGTCTGAAGTCCTCAAATCGTGGTTTAAAGACTTCAAGGAGCAGAGAATCCTCCAGCAAGTGACCCATGCCCCATGCTACAGAGGAAGGTGAAAAACGTCCAGGGCCTCTTCCAATCTGGAGGAAAATTCCCTGGAGGAAAATTCCTTCCCGACCCCAAATATGGCGATCAGCTAAACCCTGAGCATATGGGCAAGATTCACCAGCCAGATACCTAGTGCTTGAGACAGTAGGCTTTCCTCCTCTCTCTAGACACCTTTGACAGTAACATTCTGGACCAATTTCAGGTCTAACAATAGCACAGAATCTGCTTGATTCCATAAAATTAGTCACACACCTTTCTGCTTATAAAAGTTACTTTTCCTTCCTCATCTAACCTTGACCTAAACATAGTTACTGCAATTGGCCAATTCAGTCCTTTTGGACAGACTCCATGTTTGTTTCTTTCCTGTGAAGGTTTAATTCCTACCTACCTTCAATGACAAGTCCACGTATGTTTCAAGACCCCTCTTCTATTGCACTGCATAAATTTCAGAACACTGCTCTATTTTATCCATAGGCACATTTACCTTTTTGGTCATCCTGTCTTTATTTTTCCCCTTAACTCATATTTTAATACCAATGATATTACGTTTACAAATTTTGACCCCCAACTCTAATCCATCCACTTTCTCTGCCTGCCTTCAAACTACAAACTACATCTTCTACAAACTAAATCAAACTACATTTTCATCTCAACTTCCTTTAGCTAGATATCTCAAAATAAAAGAGCTTGTAGTGGGCATAAGAAACATCCTCAATCTTACATAAAAACTCTCATCTCCCTTGATTTTAACCTTCCATTTAACTGCACGGTCCGTAACCCTGGCATCATCCTGGACTCTGATAGTCTCTCAATCTCCCACATCTCTCATGTCTTAATTTCCTCTCACTTCAACTACTGCAGTACCTTTTCTGTGGCCTCTCCAAATGACAGCTAACCTGTATCATGTGCCAAATGCAATTGCCTGCCTCCTCCCATGTGCAGAGAAGTATGTATGTCCACATCCCTCCCATCCTCAAACAACTTCACTGCCAAGTCAAACTGGCCCTCTTTTTTTAAAAAGCCCTCCATAGATATACTTCAGCTTCTCTCATTGACCCAGTCTCTCTTCATACCCTTTCTTGGTGACCCAGCATTAACCTCTTTGTCCCTTCATTCAGTCTCACCATCGTGAGCATACCGCGCTCTCCTCAAAAGCTTTGGATGTCGGGACTAGCCTTACTATGTCACTTTGCCCCACTGACTCAATTTATTTCAAATCTCAGCTGAAATTATCTTCCTCCTTTGCCTATGTCTCATTTTCTCTCTTACTCTCTCTACAAGTATTATTTGGCTGTGTAGCGGTAACTTTGTTGTCAGGCTATTCAAAGTGAAACTATTGTTAGCAAGCCCTGCCAGTCAACATTCTGGAATCCTGCAGGACATAAGGTCACTTATCTAGTCACTCATTGGGGCATTAACTCTCACTCAGTAAAATAGCGGATCTGGATTCAAAAATATATTAAACCTCAAGAACCACAACAATAGTTAACTAGATAATTATCTGAATGATAAAAATATGGTGGTTGATCATTTGTATATTGATAGTTTGTTAGATGACAGTGAAATATTAAACCTGAAACTTGGGATTCATAATGGAAATGCCAGCTGAAACCTAACTGTAGATTAACTAACGGTCTTGATAAAATTATGTGTGAAACATTTATTTTATAGACAAGCCAACAGCTTCAAAGCACTCAGACTTGAACAAACAAGCCACTTCTTGATTGCTCAGATATGCTACCTATTCTTTAAAAGAAAATTTTGCCTTGTAGGAACAGGCAGTTTCGAAAGAGCTGTCCTCAATTTCCTTTTTCTCTTCTCTTCCGTAATGATTTCAAAACAACTCTTGAGACACTAAAATTGAATCAGTTGGTGTCTTATAATTGCCCATTCCCTTTTCATGTAATGCAAACACCATAGAAGAAAGATCTATATCTCTAAACTACCAAGGCTAGTGTCAGATTGGTATTTTTGTTAGTATCTTCCAAAACTCAGTGATTCTTACTCTAACTCCACCCAAAACACTTTTTAAAAGGAAAGCTAAAAACACTTATACTTTATAGGCCACTATCCCAACCTCATGACTCCCTCCTCTCAGGGTCACAAATCAAGATTTGCAGGGAGGGAAGAATTTACCCAACACCTATTAGTAGGGGAGAAAAACATCAGCCCCAGCCCCCTAGGTCACGCCCCCTTCCAAAACCACACCTCCTGCAATTTAAAAACGCTTCCCTTTTTTGTATTGGTTTCTGTGACTGCTTCATCTTTTCCTTGTCATCCCATCATCTTCTCATATCTTTTCCTATATTGTATGCGCTTTCCTACCCCCATATTTTAACTGGCTGTTTTCTGTTATTACTTCTGTCTCTCGCTTTTCTGTTGGATTTCAGCCATCCCCTCCCACTTATCTAATCACATACAAGCCTTAGAAAGTTTATCTGAAAATTAATAGCTAGATGACCTATCAGCCAAAAGACATGCACAAAAGATGGGCTGGCCTACTGTCCAAAAACAATGCACACATAAAGGAGCCAACACCACCACCTTTAAACCTAAGTGCTCCAAAAGTAGAAGGTGCTAGTGTCCCTACCAAGTTGCTGTAGCTGGACCCCTGCTCAGGGGCTCCATCTTCCATATCAGTCTCTGGATAGTAACTTACATATTTGAAGTTTCTACTCTCCCAAGACTGCTGGGAGAAGGGGCATTCTCTCTTTCATCCAAGAGCTTCTTGGCTAATAGGATGAATCAATGTGTGTTTGTTATTCTACCTTTCCCTTAACTTTTCGGCTGCTGCCAGGTGGTCTCCCCTACTCTACTCAAGCCACAGCTTCTGTTTTTGAGACCTCTTCCCATTAAAATACTTCAGAAATCTCAGCTCAGACACGAGTGCTAGGTTCTCCAGGAACAGCTCTGCCCCCAAGAATTGGTGATACTAAGGCAGAAGGCAAACTTTCCTGCTGCTTGCAACAGCTACCCCCAAAAAGAAACCCCATCAACAAAACTAACAATACAAAGGATTCCTTCAAAAGGTTGAGTGGTGCTCTCACATGTGCTCCCATCTTAAATGAAAATACTTTGTAACAGTGCCATCTGGCGCATGACTCATGTCATAACAGTCTAATAGGCCCATTGCTCAAGAACTGGGAGGGAAATGGTTTTCCCATTCTGCAAAAAATTTCAAGATTTCAAACATTTTTCCAGTCCTGAATTGGGACAAAGTCAAAAAAAAATCTCAAAATTTTTCACAAACCGAGAATCCAAAAAAAATTTGGATTGTGTGAATTAAAACATTTTTGTTTTGATAATTCTGAAACATTTCATTTAATTTTGATCTTTTAAAAATGTTTACCTTCCTTGGCATGAAATTCCAAAACAAAAAAAAGTCATTTTGAATCAAAAAACAACACTTGGCTTCGAAAACATCACAACGGGACATTTAAATGATTTTTTTTTTTAATGTCAAATTGGGAGATTTGTTAAAGCCAACCATTTCCTGCAAATAGTTTCAGTTTGACGAATCAGCATTTTCCAACTCTAGAGTTTTTTGGCTA